GATCAGATCATCAACATGCTTCCCACATTTTTGTAATTCATGTGCTTCTGGAGAGCGATGAGATTGTTCGAACTGCTCACATTTTCTAAGAAGGCAATTGTTTAGCAATTTTTTTAGCTCGTAAGGGTATACCCTTATCCTTGGGAATCCATTCTATTTCTCTAATTGATCCTAATGTTTGATACTGGGCCATGTACTACTTTTTTGGGGAGGCTATGGACCAACAAGTTTTCATATGAGGTAGTGGTGCTTTGCAATCTTTTTTATATGTGTAGAAATATACCTAGTGGTACTATCACTGATTTTCAACCATAGATCTCATGTCTGATTTCCTGGGATGGAATCACCCTCCCTACTAGACCTATTTAGAAGTTTTTTTTGTGGGGAAAATATTGTGTTTGAATTCAATAAATGCACCTGACTTCTTTGGACAACAATCAGATACACGGTTCACAACTTTTCAAACAAAGTTCAGACGAATGTGCTTGATTTTTTTAATTATTTTTGTGAACGAGTTTCATTAAATTACTCTACTCCAATGATGATTTAGTGAGAGCTTAAAAAACCCTTCTTATAGCTACTTTGCAAAGAAAATAGTAAAATTGGCATGTGTGTGAGACTTGTGATCTTATTTTATCTTTGTTTCCCTGTTTATAGCTATCATGTGCATTACTTTTTTAACCGCTCCTCCTACTACATTGGTGCTTTATGTATCTTGTTTGATGACCTAACCTCCTCTGCTTCCATATAGACCACTTGATACGTTGATGCCTTCACTTGATAGGTATCCTCACCTTTCATAGAGGTGTCTTGATTAATGGTGTTTCCCATTACCCTATTTGGCATGCTTCTCTTGGGGTCTTTCTGGCATGATGGGATGTGACCATGATTGGTTACGTAGCTAGGTTACATGCTTGATACCTGGACCCCCTTTTGACACATGCGGCAATGCGGTCGAAATTTCGATTTTGTGTAGAAGCATTTTGGTACCTAGAAGTGTAAAAATAAAAGTTTTTAAGCTTTAAAGCATGGATTTTGACTACTATTATAAGTGAAAACCGCAATTCTACATAGAAGAATTTTGGTTACATATAAATGTAAAAGCGTAAGTTTTTAAGTTTTAAAACATGATTTTGACTACATTGGCTAGTAGGATATTCGAATGGACCCCTCTATGCTAACATCATTCATGGGTCTTTATGCTTGACATGAGAGAGGTGGGGGTCGTCATTTTTTACTATGGCCACCATCTCATGATGGGGGTGACCACATTGGCTTCAAGTACCTTGATGCTCAATGCCTTAATGAATAATTTTTCGAGCTTGTGAATCCATGTTGACCCCCTTGATATTGTCATGCATGTTTAACACCTAGGCAATCTATCATCTTTGACATGTGGGTGTATAGACCTGGTAATCGGGTCGGGTTGGGTAATTTTGGATTGGAGACTCCGGTTATGGGTCAGGTCATGTTTAGTTGGCTAATTTCGGGTCAAATATTGACCCAACCCAATCGGTTTCGGGTCAGTTACAGGTCGTTTCGGGTTATGTGCGCTCTCAGAAACAACATCAAACATGCTTCATATTTTCTTAAAAACACGAATTTTCACATATGCATGACAATAGTTTACCTAATACATGTCAATTAACAAATTCTCAAATCCTCTCATGCTAATGAAATGAAATACGAATTGCGCAATTCGTCAAAAAACAATAACAAGAGTAATACTACTACAAGAAACACATGATATTTGATTATCCTTAAACTCCAAACATGTCATTCAAATCCTTGTAATATTTTTTTAACATCTCACCATTTTATGAGTGATTTTATCATTTTGGGAGTGATATGTAAAATGAAACGAGTCTAACAGGTCGACCCGCTAACCTACCCAACCCAAACCAAAAAATTACGGGTTATCGGATTTGGGTCATTCGGATTTCGGGTTATCAAAAATTTCTACTTTTCGGGCGGTTTAGGGTCGGGTCAACGGGTCGGGTTATAATTTTCCGGGGGTATGCATGTTTGACACCTTAAGAGTCTTTGATGGCCTCGTTGAATAGATACCATGCTTGACACACCTGAGGCCTATCATGCTTGAAAGTTGTGGGCTGGGATGAAGGGATGCGCATATAGCCCTCATGATGTCATGCTTGAGGATTCTTGATGAGGAATGTTCATGTTTACCCCCTAGATAATGCCATGCTTGGGGTCTCGATGGTGGGGTATGCGAAGAGGGTGTGAGGATGTTGGCCAAACTGCATGTGGAGGTGTATGCACTAAGCTCTTTAGGATGATGTCATACTTAAGGATTAGGTGATGAGGGTTTTGATGAGCGTACACCGATCCCCTAGCATGACACCATAGGTGGTCTAAAACTTTATCACTCAGGTTCAACTTAGACCAACTTACTGAATATGGTTATGTTTGTCTTATAAACAACATCCACCTTTTCAATTTAACCAATGTAGTATTATATTAATTTTTAATAGCATTAAGTAGCATGTAAAAGACATTTTTAATTACCCATATGGTCATATCATTGGTAATGATAGTGAATTATGTAGTTAGAAGAGTTGGTGTGTGCAACGATGTGGTATGTGTCGGAACATAATGGACCAAATCGATGCTTGACTAGACTATAGTAAATCGAATATAATGTATCCTATCCTTGGTCTTATTAATTTTATAAGTACTGAAGAAAAATTTATCAAAATGACATTTAAACGAGCCATATCGAATCAAATAAAATTTTAATCCGATCTGTGCCTTTCACCCCACTGCACATCGAAGAAGAGTCAATGTAAGTATGTAATCTAATCGACATGCATATGATAAGTAGGTGTTTTAAAGTAATACAGAGCAATCAAAGAGTCGCATAAGATTTAACGCATTCTTAAACATATTTTATTGAACAAAACGCCCTTTTAGCAAGCTTACCCAAGCTTTGGAACTCGTAGAGAATTTTCACGGTAGTTGTATTGTCGCTATCGTATTGATGCTACTGCGCCTTTTTGAAGAACTACATGTTGTCAACGACGACTGCAAATCTGTATGGTGGTGGGCACTTTCCGACTAGGCGACGAAGACTATCGATTCTGGCGGTAAAGCTTCTAGAAGCGGATTCGGCGGCAGGTGAGCCGGCAGGTACAGTAGTAGGATCCTGGGAAGAAGCAGTCGATGGCTGCAAGAAATTAAAGCTCGGTTGTTCGAATTTTTTCGATTTGCTTCCTTTTTGGGTATTGTCGCCTTCGTGCGATTATCCCTGTGTTATCGTTCAGCCACCGGCCAATGCCCGCTCAGTGCACCTATTTCCTATGGGGAACTTTACTTTTCACGGCCCGGGCTTCTCCTTCCGGTTGTTTGCCAGGTGCCCTAACAGATGGGCTACTTTCATAGGTGTTGCGTGCGGTTGCCACGTCAATGATGTCACTAGGGATTAGAGTTTACCCTTCTTATCCCAAGAATCATAAGTGATCAAGTGGGAGAGTTTCGTTCTTATCCTTCTTCGGGGAGGTTTATGGGCTGGGCTTGCTCTTTCTCCTAGGTCTACACAATGAGTTTGGTGGGCTTGTTATTATGATTATTCTCCTTCTTTGTTCGAGAGCGCAAGTCATGTGCTATATGTCAATAATGTCTGCGCTGCTGACATCATAGCATCACTATTTAGATATATTTAAACGTTTGGCCCCATAAGCTTTCTCGTGGCTTTATACCTTCCACTTCTGTTCACCTTGTCTATCTAGTCATGGCTGCCGCTGAGCTCGTGGTTTTCAATCATGAGGATATTGTTGTCGGAGCTGAACATCGTGAACTTACCTTGATTGGGAAGGTTTTCGGTTGTGCCCCATCGATCAATATCCTTCAATCCATCATGGCTAGAGTTTGGAATTGTGAGGGCTCCCTTTCGATCAATCCTCTAAACTTGGGGCTTCTTCAGTTTGTGTTGTCTTATGCGAATGATCTTGAAAGCATTGTGGTGGCTTCTCCATGGATCCTTCCGAATATCATGATACATATCATCTGTTGGGTCCCTCTGACACCTGTTGTCACCAATTCACTCCTGAAAGTTCCTCTCCTAGTACAATTATGGGGTATCCCTCCAAATAGTTGTACTCTACTCTTCATATTCAAACTTGGAGCTTCTCTGGGAGAGGTTGTGTCATGGGCTCTTCATCGGACGATTACCTTTGGTTGCCTCTACATACAACTCCAAGTATTTCTTGATACATCGCTTCATCTGCCATGGTATCTTACAACTGCTCATGAAGATTATGACAAAGGGATGTTCGAGGTGAATCTTAAGTTTGAGCGTTTGTCGCAGTTCTGCTTCTTCTGTGGAATTATCGGAAATATTGGCCAATAATGCCTTAGTAAAACTGAACTTTCAAGTTCTCCCCCGACTTATGGCCTGTGGTTGCTGGCATCGGAACGTGGACCAAGGGTCGATGAATCCACTCTGCGCAAGCGTCGTCGTCACTATACCTGGATTCGAAAGGGTTTTTCTGATGGTGATCTACCCCCAAGCAGAGTTGTTCTAACACAGAGAGCTTTGAAGTATCCTGCCTCTTATCGTGTGTGACATTTTGACATTATGCATAGCTGACTCCTCAATGGTTATATAATAGTCTTTCGGCCCTTCTTTTGATTGTGGTATAATGTCAGATTGATACACACCCATCTAGCGGGTTGGGTGAGTAGGGGCGGGTTAGTCTGAATGGGCCGAGTATGAATGGCATATTTGTTATTTCTCTAAAGTTGGACTTGACAGCCGGTTATCATCAGATCCGGATGCAGGAGGAGGATGCGCACAAGACCGCTTTCCGGACTCAAACCGACCATTATGATTTCTGGTCATGTCATTCGGCATGTGCAATGCTCCCTCGACCTTTAAGGAAGCCATGAATGACATCTTCCGGGCCCTACTGTGACGGTATGTGTTGGTATTTTTTTACGACATTCTCATATACAATCCGTCGTGGGAGGCACATTTGCAGCACTTGCAGGCGGTATTTGAGATACTGTAGCATCACCAGTACTACATCAAGACTTCCAAGTGCACATTTGAGGTCCAGGAGGTGGAGTAATTGGGGCACATTGTCACTCAACAGGATGTACAGGTGGATCGATCCAAGAGTCACGCTATGATGGATTGGCTGGTACCGACCACCGTTATAGAGCTGCGAGGCTTCCTAGGTTTAACAGGCTACTAACAGAAGTTTATTAAGGGATACATCATGATTGCCCGGTCCTTGAAGAACTTGTTGAAGAAGGGCGTATTTGAGAGGACACTGGAGGCAAACACGACGGTCCAACGATTGAAGCAGGCCATGACATCTACCCGGACTCTTGCCATGCTAGACTTCTCCAGACTGTTGGTGATTGAAGCGGACGCTTCGGGCAGGGGAATCGGGGCGGTCTTATCACAGGTTCGTCACTTGATTGCTTATATGAGTAAGATCTTGGTCCCGTCCAAAGAGGCATGGTTTACTTACCAGAATGAGATGCAGGCAATCATCACAGCAGTGCATATATGGAGACCGTATTTACTAGGACAGAAGTTTCACATCTATACTGACCACCAGAGCCTGCGGAATCTCTTAGAGCAGCAGGTATCCACTCCAGACCAGCACAAGTGGGTCTATAAGCTACTGGGCTATAACTACAAGATCCACTATAGACCGGGACCGACCAACGTGGTGGCCGATGGGCCATCCCGAAAATAGGGGTACGAGGTACTGGCGGCAGTGACAGGACTGGTGCCTCAGTTCTGGGACGCGCTGCGAGATCTCACCTAGTCCAAACCTTATCTGCAGGGGTTTCGGGATATCGCAGTCAGTGAGGCTCCGCGTAACTACTCATTTCGGCAGGGCATGGTGTTCTTCAAGGGATGCCTGGTTCTTCCTCGGGGGTCTTCCTTGGTGACTACGGTATTGTAGGAGTTACATGATTCCTCGTTCGGTGGACCTTCCAGGGTGGACACACATATGAAGCCAATTTATAAACATTGAAGGAAATCTCATAGCAACAAAAACTTTAAACAGAAATCCCCAGTCCACCGAATCAAAAGCTTTCATTAGATCAATTTTCAAAGTGCTTCGAGACGAAATGTTCTTCCGAGAATACTATTAATTTTTGCCCCTAAATTGCTGAACTCAATGTGCAGACGAGAGTCAGTTACAAGAAGATGAGCAACTTGCTAGAGCTTTACAAGAAAGCTTGAATATTGAATCTCCTCCTGCCTCTCCCCCTCAATATCGCAATCCAAATGCATATCATCCAGGAAATATATATATATCAACCAGCCTCAGTCCATTTTCCTAATGGTTTCAGGTAACTCAGTTGTATGCTTTACCTGCTATAGTCAATGGCCTCGGTCTTTTGGCTTTACTCAATGACTTTGTTGCTATGGTTAGAATATGTGTTGATTGTAATAATGAGATCCGTGCTGGGAGATTTCTTCACTGCCTCAATGCATACTAGCATCCAGAATGCTTGTGATGCCATGTGTGCAACCTACCTATTGCTGATTATGAGGTGCAAAATTTTGTTACATTGAAGTGAGCTTTCAGTACCTAATTTTTCTTTGATGCAGTCCAACGAAAATTATTGTTTTAGCTATTGCACATTCCCTAACTTTACAATTTATATACTTTTCCCTAATTCTCCATGTCAGGAAATTACCCCTATCACAAAAAATGCTTCAAGGACCGGTGTCATCCCAAATGTATTCTCGCATGGTGAATCTAATGTTCACCAACTGTTTGCTTGTTTCTGTTAATGAATGTGCATAACAACTTGAACATGAATTATCGGGTATTAGAAAGACCGAGGTTTGGAGGAGGACAGCGATCCATGGACATGATAACAGAGCCTTATAAACTGACAGGCCGATGTGATGTTACAGTCATTCTCATTCTATATGGTCTCCCAAGGTAATACCTTATTTGCCTTGGTAAATGATGACACTGAGAGAGGAGGTATTACCTTGGATACGGGCTTCCAAGAGCTCTTTAACATATTCGAATGATTGGGAGGTCCCGTGTACTTCTTCCTCCCCTGCATTTACACAACCATTTTGTACTATTTATTTTGGAACTGAACTCAGAGCATAGCACATAGAAAGAAATTTGGTTTCTGTAGAATAGAAAGTTGTAGGTTTATAGAAGTGCTATCTTTTTTCCACCATGCCCTTCTATTGTAGTATTGCCCCATTTGAAAATGCTATGCCTTTTCAGCATATTAGAAAACTTCAATAATGAAATTCTATTCATTCTTTCCTTCTGAAATATTGTCACTGCATTATAAAAATTAAAAATTAAAAGTTTGTCATTGCCACGATGGTTCATCAACTGGCCCGTTTTGATTAGAAATTGCCAACGGAAGCAAATAGAGAAATTGGAGTGTGAAAATATTACTTAAAAAAAGTGAATGATTTTGAGGATTAGGTTGTCCAACAATTTGTTCACGTTTTTAGAGAATAGATAAAATTGCTATAATATAATTAGGCTGAGAAAAAGGATACAATATTTAGGTATTGTTCAAACTCAATTTATTATGGAAAATTAGGTTTGGTAAATGTTATTTTTGGGGTTGGGGTATATTCATACTCACTTTTTAAGTTTGAGTCTAAATTGGACCCATAGTATTTGAACTCCAAAAGAAAATAGTTATCCAACTATAATGTAATGTTTGTTTTATTTTATTTTACGATACAAATAGAAAGATGAAAACACCGATGTTAAAGGTGTAAAATTGTGTTAAAAGTAGTTAATGAAATTGCTGATATTGTTTTTAGTGTATCCAATCGTCTGACCCAAATGAAATTACCCAAATAGGACCCAATCCAAAGTCATCCAAACACAAAACCATTAAAACGCATATAGGTCCATTTGGATCCACCCCAATATTCATATAGGTCATGCCGATTTAGTCGAATTATCCAATAAATCAATTCATTGTCATTTTCTAAATATAATTGTAGTATGATAATGACTAAAATATCTTCACACAAACTTTTGAAGTTTTATTAGTTATATCAATGACATATAATTCTTAGTTACATTGACGTATACACATAAACATATAGTTTTTTTCCCCAAAAGATACAATTGATTTTTCTCTCAGACATTATTATTACACAGATCATTTACCATGAGGCAGTTTCGACACTCCAATCGTTCTCATTCCTCGAGGCACGCCGGAGAGGGATCACCGATCGATCGGTACTTGAATCGTCACCAAACTCCGATCTCAACCTTCTCAAATCCGTCAGAATCTTCACCAGACTCGAGACCACCTCCTCCATATTGGGCCTAGTCTCCGATTCCCGTCTCAAACAGGCCAAACTCAACCTGAACAGAGGCAGTGCCATCTCCACCCGAGTTTCTCCCATACCTGAATCAACGTACGACGTTAAAGCTTCCTCCAACCCACCTTTCTCCGCCAGAGAAACCACCGTCGTCGAAAGCAGAGTCTCCTTCCCATTCCTTGCCACCAACACAGCTTCCTTCCCCGTGATCAGCTCCAGCAACACGACCCCAAACGCGTAGACATCGATCTTCGGTGTGATCTCCCCGGTCTCCACGTACTCCGGCGCCATGTACCCTCGCGTCCCTACCAAATGCACCGTGACATTAGTGTCCCTAGCCGCCGACCTCGCCAGGCTGAAGTTCGTGATCTTGGCCCTCAGGTTACTGTTCAGCAGAACATTGCTCGTCTTAATGTCCTGATGAACATACGCAGGCTTGGTGAAGTTATGGAGATAGTAAAGTCCGTTGGCGACATCAAGACCGATCTGAACCCTAATCTCCCATCCAATTCCGCTTTCTTCTCCACCCTTTCTTCCCCTCTTGAGCCAGTCTTTCAGACATCCGAATTCCATGTACTCGGAGACCAAGTACAAGCTCTGCCCATCGTCGCAAACGCCATAGAGGTTGATCACATTGAAATGATTGATCTTCATCAGAATGTTTACCTCCTGCGATATATCGATCTCCCTGCTCATCTTCTTCACCGCCAGTACTCTGTCTCCGAACTCCCCTGAATAAACAGAGCCCTTGATTCTCTTCCCGGGGCTGAATTTCCCAGTTGCCTTGTTCACTTCCTCGATCCCAAACACCTTCAGAGCTCGCTCGCAGCTCGCTATCTCGACTCGAAGATCCTGCTTCACTCTCTCCTTCCTCATCTCGCAGACGTAGCTTTTCCTCTTCCTTTCCCCCTGAATCAGACAAATCACCGCCACGGCGATGCTGACTAGGAGCAGGAAGCAGGCCGCGGCGAGGCCCGCCAGCTCGAGTGCTTTCGCCTTCGATTTCGGAGCTCCTCCGCCGGTGGACTTTGTGGGCCGCGGCGGAGGTACAATTTGAGCAACCTTGCTGTGGACTTTACTCATTGAGCTCAGGGGAAGTCCTGAGAGGGGAATCAGAATTGTGGTACCCGGAACCAATTTCGGGTCTCCGGTTAGACCGTTGGCGTCGAGGATTCTCTCCGGCGTGACATTGAACCGCCTTGCCAGATCAGGCAAGCTGTCGTCGGAGCTAATCGGGTATGTGAGCAGGTAAATTACCCCGCCGGAGACCTCATCCGCCGACGGGCAGGCGCACCGGAGGGGGACCTGGATTTTCATTCCGGGTTTCAATTCGCGGTCGGGAATTGGGTTCCCGCGCCTGATCGCCGCGCAGGTCGCCAGCCCGTCGAATAAAACCGTCGACGCGACATAGTAAGTCCCCGCGGCCCTCGTCACGGTGAAGCTCGTGTTTGCCCTGTAGTATCGTTCGCCGTCGCCGGAGCACGAGCAGGTGACGGGAACGATCACGTCTTTCCCCAGCTCGAATCCCGAGGAGGGATCGTCGGCGGCGTTGATTTCGGCGATTCTCGCGGAGTCGGATGACGTCAGCTCGGCGATTTCGGCAGGGGAGCTGTAATCGAGAGTGGATCGAAAGATGAGGAACGATTGGCAGGAACGGTTGAGGCCGTTGCAGGTGTAGAGAAACGCCGGGGACGGGGCAAGTTCGTCGGAGGCGGCGCAATTGAGGGACGAGAGGCCGGAGTAGTTCTGCCGGCCGGCCGCCGGCGGAAGTAGTTGGAAGAGAGCGGCGGCGAGGGTTAGTAGCAGGACAAGGGGAGAAATTTTCATGGTTGGGTTTGATGGGTTTCTCTGGAAATGGGAGCTGAGCTCTAATGGCGAGAGAAGTGTTTGGGTGGAAATTTGAGAATTAGAATTTGCAGGAGGCGGATTTTTTCTTCCCTTTTTGGTGGGTTCTTCTCGGGACGAAGGATGAGTTGAAATGAGAAGAAACAAAAATGTGGAGTGTGGGAGAGAGAAGAGGAGAAGAAGACATTTGGCACCTCAACTTTTAGGATGTCTTCTACTTGGCACTTTGAAGTTATAAAATCTATATTTGAGTCATGTAATTTCAATTTTTTTAGTGGGTGGCCATCTAGTACTCAATAAGTTCTGATTTTGCGTTGTTTTCATCTGTGTATATTTCGTCAAAATTTTATTTAGAAAATTCACAGTTATATGTTGTGATTGGAGAGTATAATAAGCGAGGGAGTTGGGGTTTTGTGTATGATGATTCGGTATGTCAAAAGAAACTCAGCGGTGGTACATAACAACATCAAAGAAGGAGCCAAAATCGGACCCAAAAAAAAAACCAGGGGAGCCATATGGGTATATTTCTTCTACTTGACAAATAATTCATATTTCAGTGTCATATGGTGCGTTTATATTTCAAAGTTTTGGCTTTAAGTTTTTAAATTTCAATTTGTACTACTTAATAACTTATGATATATAATAGAAGAATCAAGAACAAGAGCTTCGATTTTTCGACTTTCGATGTCCTCTCCATTTTGATGGACTTCCTTCCCTTTCTCATTCGATGTGAAAGAAAAAGAGATCAAAATATTTCGCAAACTACAACTCTACAAGTATTGCGATAAAAAAAGAAATAGCAAAAAGTGACTTTGATCGCATTTTTCTTCTAAGCTGAGGTATCAAAATAAAATATTTATGAACTATGGGGAGCAAATACAGAATGTAGTAAGAGTACAGAGGAGGCGAAATTCCGTGTTGACACTTGACACTACCCAGTTAAGTTAAGTTCCTTCTGTTGCTGAATTTTTAATAGAAAATGAAGAAAAAAAAGGATTTGGCGCTAAAATGCTGGCGCGGGAAGTTTAATGTTTGTTTCCTGACGTAGCCAACCCGAGTACCCAATAGAATTGGGCGCTTCATTTTGTTGGATGAGAATTAGACAGGAACTAAAGATCATAATGTAGGAAGAAAACAACTTGACACTTATCAAAGTACATTAGTTTTATTGCTTACTACATTCCCAAATTAGTTAGTGTGAGAAAACTAACTTTGAAAATTTCACATCATGATATTGACACGTTAGTGCAATTTTATTAATGTAGATGTCAAGTATATATTTGAAAGTTTACATTTAATGCAATTATGGGCCATGCCATTGTTGTAATTATTTTATTGTTTATGATATTTATTGTTTACGAATTTATATTTTATAATTATATTAAAAGTTTCATTAGACCCATTAATTGTATTTGCAATTTGCAAGTGAATTGCATTGGCATAGTTGAAATGAAATTGAAACAAAAGAAATAGTTAGAATTGTGAAAAAGGTAATAACATATGAATTGCATGGGTAAGGATGGTTTAACAAAAATATACAAATAATTAATGGAGGGAGAACTGATAACCATTTTTTCGAACAGGTATTTAGAGATCGAGAGTATAAAGAACCGATAACCATTTTCACATGAAGATAACGAGTAATTAGAGATCGAGAGTATAATATCACTAAAATCTTCTAAATCAGCCATTGTCATCGTTCAGTTAACAACACCCGCATATTGCCCTTCTGCCGCTGTTGAATTGATCATTCTGTCGTTTCATTTACGTAATACTCTATCTTTCTTCATCGTTGCCTCGGAGCACCTTGTCATCTCCATCCATTTGTATGAGATTGACCACTCTGTCGCTTTGTGTTGTACTACTATTTGGTCTTGACCGTCACGAAATTTCTAACGTACTTAAGACCCAAGGTATTAATTCATAGAAAGTGCTTGAGCCTTCGTGATAACACGAGAAACTAGCTTCCCAAATGTCTGAATCACATTACAACAATGCCTCATCACAAATCAGGATGAAGGATTTGGCTTTGGTTTTCTCCATAGATCATTGACCATGTATATTCACCAATCGAATTGACGTGGTTCAACTACCGTAGTAAACTATAAAACTATATTCACTAAACCCAATCAACACTGCGATTACTAGTAAACTATATATAAAACTAATGATAAATTATACTACATGTTAAATCGTTTCGTCCCCAAGCTGTCCTAGTCCTACTATGGATCCGGAATCCGTAGACAGAATTCCCGACTGGAGAAAACTCCATCCACCAAATCAAGAATGGGTCAAGAGGGGAAACCGCAGAACAGGCTGGTGTGCTTCTTTTGTCTGTACAACAATGGCTTCTTCTTCCAACCAACCCACCATTATCTCTTCTTTGCCGCCCCTTCGACTGTGACAAGTACTCTTTGTTTATTTTTCCTCCTCTTTGGTTATTTTACCTTCTGTTATTTCGTTTTTGATCGAGAATCTCATTTCCATATGATCGGAGGTTGGTCGGCGTTGAGCTCTTCAAATTCTTTCATACTATATGTAAGTTGGAGCGAAACTAATATGAGATTAGTACACGTTCATGTTAAATAATAGATAGTCGTAATTGTTGGGGTAGGCGCTACCAGCGCGTTTGGCACGCTCACTTCCTACTCGCCGCTCAACGATTCCACCTCTCGCCGCACAAAGAGTTCCTCGGGAAGACGCGCACCTGTTCTGACAGACAAGTCACGTCACCCCCTTTTTTCTACCTAACATGTAACCACTATAAATAGAGCATTAACTCCACTGAGAAAAGGGTTCGATTTCTCTCTAAAAAGTCTCTCTCTCTACAATATTAGTCAAACGCTCCCCTCTCTGAGTAAAACGACATCTCCCCACACATTACACTGTGCAGAACTCCTACTCCCCCAGCTCTGCATAAACAATTGGCGCCCACCGTGGGGCATGGTGCAGGAACAGACACCACCCCGCTCAAATCTACCACTAGCCAAAGGCTCTACGACGCAACCAACAACCCCGACGCGATAACCCGGTTTCGCGAAACACAAAACCTGGACGCCATCCTGATAGAGGAGGAGGAGGAGGACTAGGGATGGCAACAAAACCCGAACCCACGGGTACCCACCCGACCCAACCCGGTCAACGCGGGTAAAATCCGTGTTGACGGGTTTTGGGCTGGGTTTGGGTTTAAACCCGTCCACTATTCATCGGTTGGGTTGGGTTTGGGTTTAGGTAAACCCGACCTATGGGTACCCGCCCACACCCATATAATTAATTTTCTCAGTATATTTAATATTCTAAACAACTAATCTTATTTATGTTTGTGGAGACATGTCTAATTTTTCTTTCTAATTGTGTAGAACGAAGTTGATGTTATCGAGTGGAGAGTGAAGAAACTTAATTGAAAGGAAGAAGTTTTCAATTAATCATGTTATTTATGGATAATTTATGATTTGCTTCAATTTTCTTGAGTTTTCTAGATTGGTGTTGAACAATTTGTATAGTTAATTTGTGATTTGCTTGAATTTCTAGAATGGTGTTTTATATATGAATAATTTGTATTGAGAGATTGATATTTGGTTTTAATTTTGATAGGAACTTGTTATTGTAATTTTTTACGACAAAAACCCGTGGGTACTCATGAACCCGCGGATACCCAGCGGGTTGGGTTGGGTTTGAGTTTTTCAAACCCAGTGGGTTTTACCCCAGGTTTTTTTCACGAATAAACCCATGGATTTGGGTTTGGGTTTGGCAAAACCCGACCCAACCCTACCCATTGCCATCCCTAAGGAGGACATCTCTCCCAAAGAGATGCGCCAACGCATGGAACAACAAAACAAGGTGATTACCAACATGCAGGACCAAATGGGCCAGAGGCTAGCCCTGATGGCGGCACAAGCCAATCTTCCCGCTCACGCTGGTCCGCTCCAAGAGCCGCTCCGACCGCAACTAGCCACGGAAGACATCGAACACGCCGAACGGGCGCCGTGCCCAGACCTCGACTACCTGGAACAACATCTGTCTCCAGCGTATCGCGCTCCTCCGCGAGTCGCGTTGCACCAACCGTTATGCCCTAAGATCATGGCGGAACAAATGCCCGGGAACCCCCTACCCTCCCCACCTACAACGGAACAACCGACCCGGAAGACCACGTGAGTGCGTTCTGCTTACGTATGCAGCTCCAGACATGCTCTAACGCTACGATGTGCAGAACCTTCCCTTCTACTTTCGCGGGAATATGCCTCGATTGGTACAACCGCCTCCCGAACGGGATCATTCGGACGTTCGAGGAGTTCATTCTTCTCTTCACCACCAAGTTCGCATCGCAGAAGCGAAGGTCGTTGCTTACGGTAGCGCTAGTAGACGTGAAGCAGAAGGAGGCGGAGAGCCTTAGGGCGTTTTATTCCCGATGGTCCAGGGTGGCCATGGCGGTCCGGGATCTCACCCCGGAAAACGCGGCACGACATCTCATGAATTCCACTATCAACCCCGAACTAAGGCGGTCTTTGGCCAAACGACCGGTCACCTCATCCTCAGAACTCGAATCCAAGGTGGAGAAGGCAATCACCCTTGAAGAAACCTTGGGGGCAGGGTCCGTAAGGCGGTTTGATCCGAAGGGCTCCAGAGAAGATCCGTCGCGACATCAACCCCCACTGCAACTGAGTGCTTACCATGGAGGACACAACAAGGCCCAAGGCCACCCCCCACCCGCGGAACAATTCAGAAGAAGGTCGCCGGAGAAGAACAGAAACGACCGCAACTACACACCTCTCAAAGACTCAGTGCGGAATATCTTCCACGTCATCCGTGAAAGGGGCTATCGTATCAACTGGCCAGGGCCCCAATGGCAACCTGAAAACAGGCGTGACCACAAGAAGTTCTGCGAATTTCACCTAGAGACGGGGCACATGACGGAGCACTGTTACGTGCTCCGGTCAGAGATCGAAGCTCTCATCCGCCGGAGGCATTTATCCGAATACGTCCAAGAAGAGTGAAGAGTGCCAGAGCCCAAGGCTCCCCAACCGCCACCAGCGGGATACGACGAGAAAACGGACGAACTCTTGTTGCGGAAGGAGATCGGGGTAGTTACAGTGGAGGGCGCGCTCCCGGCGAGAAAAACCAAAAGGCAGAGAGCCGTCGACCTAGTTGAGGCCGATACCAATCAAGTCGCGCTCATCACTTTCGGCCTCGATGAGTACCCAGATGGTATCCCATCGGAAGAGCCTTTGCTCATCACCGCCCGAATAGCCGCCTGCAAGATTCACCGGTTGCTCGTGGACAGCGGTAGCGCGGCAGACATACTTT